TTCGCGTAATCGAKYTTGGACCGAACGGCGTGAACATYGTACGGCGCATGCTCGAGGTCTCCGGCAGCCGATCGGCTTGTCCGATCACTCGCCACGTGTCCTATCTACGTCCCCTCCCTTCTTCTCCATCTCCACCTTCGTCTGTCTCCTCCTCCGTGGTGGAAGAGGACGACGACTGCTTATCACCCGACTCTCCTTCTCTGTGTTGCTCTTTTTCGGACACCCCGTCCCCGCCATCATCGTCATGAACGTTTCCGTGGCAGGCGATCGACGCGCAGTTACTGACCCCAAGGGGGCGAATCACTACAATTAGGCAGGTGCAGCGGCCACGGCTGAGCACCTATCTTCTCCGATTTGCGGCTTTCTTCAGCACAACCGCGATCCACGCGGTGGCGGAGTTCCGATTCACACAGGCAGCGGCGACACTCGTGCTGGCCGAGATATTGGCCTTTCTTCGTCTGTCTCCCCCAGGAGTCAACCACGTGTTAGTGGTCGTGGTTTTCGTAGGGGACATTACCGCAGTACCAGCAGCGATACATCCGGACATCTTCAGGGGCGACGAGATCACGGTTGCATGGACGGCGCGCCTCGCTCGGCGTGCTGACAMGATCGTGCCCTCTCACGACGTCGATCTGCAGCTTCGCTCTTCCAGCGATTTGCCRCCAATCGTACTTCCAGAGCTTCGTCCTTTTGCACCGTCCCAATGAGTCGCCGCTGACTCTCTCTCTTCGGCCTCCCCTCTACTACCCCTCCTCTCTGGCACTCCGCTCACGCTCCCTCCCTCTCCTCTCATATCAAGTAGATCAGCATGCCACTCTTGGACGAGGATAAGTGGGATCAGTGGTGGGACGCTTACGAGGAGCTTGCCTTCTGTCTGCTGGAGGTAGAATTCCGTTGGTCTGAGCCAGTGCCGTACGTGGACGGACCGGAGATTCCGAACGATGAAGTAGAAGTGTTGATCGTGCAAGCTTGGCGAACGCCCGCGAAAGGGGACCTGCTGGGAATACTCTTCGGAAAGGTGGAAGACGGGAACCTCGCTCTCATTACGAGCGAACTGCTAGTGTTTTTGGTATAGTTGGGGGATGACCTGCCTCTGGACATCTTGTCGCGGTGTGACAGCAGGCCAGGCATCGACGAGCTTTCCCTAACGCTTGAGCCACATCAAGTGTGGTCCACGTGTACCGAGTTGGAACAGGATAATCGCATTTAATACCCGTCCTCGACTCTGTACCTCGAGATCGACGCCACCGATCTCGCACTCTGGGACCCGGTCATTCGGCGAGGGAACGCGCAACAGCAGGAGGGAGGAGAAGAGGAGAACGAAGACGAAGAAGAAGAAGCCGAGGAGGAATCGAGCGAGGATCACAACGACCGTGATTACGAAGAGGAAGAGGAGGAGGAAGGTGGAAAGAGTGAGCCAAGCCGAACCAAGGAGGAAGAAGAGKCCGAAGAACGCARGCGGAGAGAGAACGCAGAAAGAAAGCGGCCGATCAAAGAAAGATCCCYGYTGGKCCTGTCGCTGGGGAATCCGTGGCTCGATCCAGAGCCCCTGCGAGAAGAAGATGGACCCGACGGAGCCGCCGCAGAGGGATCGGGAAGCCGCCGACGAAGAAGGAGCGAATCGCCGTCTCCGTTTGATTCCCCTCCCGGCCCTACCCTTTGCCTTCATCAGGATGCGGCGATCGGGCTTCGTCCCCGGTCATTATCGTGTCGTCCCCTTGACTTCCTGACTCTCACCCAGCTCCACAGTGCTCTTCCAACAAACGGGTTTCTGCGAAAGGTGGCATGGCTACGGTTTCCGCAGCTTCTTGCAAAGCGGCGGAGTTGGAGAACAGTTTGCGTTCTCGGATGGATACATTGRATGTTATTGCGTTTTGCTTTGCATTTCTCATGGCGCTGCTTGCCTTTCTCTCCTTCCTTATCTTCATCTCCACGCTTCCCCTGCAAAAGCCAGCATATTCACTTTCTCGGAATGACTGTTAGTGCAGGTTACCCCTCTGATGAGTCTGCCACCCCCTCCTGCATGTGTTTGAGGATGACGCACACACATTCACGACTGTTTTTGCCTGAGAACACGACACTTTCCATAACCCTCTTTTTCGTTCCCCCTCTGCACATCCCCATGGCCGCTAGACGCATTAGTGCTTCGTGTYGACTCGCGTTCCCTGKACTTGGATACGGTTTGGATGTATGGACACCACTATCATGGATTGACTTTATGATGAGGAYATGGGGACCTCTTTTTTGGTAATCCGTTTTGTACAAACATCTGGATTTGTTCAACGGTGTGCTTCTGCATGTATGCATGTCTTTTCCTTTTTCTTTTCTCTTTTTTTCGTTTTTGCTTTTTTCTTTTTCACCCTCGCGAACATAGTAACATCTAATACGGGGACTCTSGGACCAATAGAGGAGGATAAATGCTTTGCATCMTTACGGATCGCCGRGAATACACCTGGCCGCGAAGGCACAAACCTACATTAGTTCTATTGAATGATATCTTAATTGGTGCTTCGATTGTTGATAATTCTGGATGTTCGGTAGRCACATATGAATGGAATGTCAAGCACTGCCAGGGAGTATGAGAYGCTCGATCCCGGATTCCCTGCATCGCCACTTGTATGAACCTGACACGACTAGATATGATCCCCGACTGGATAAAATGAGGGATGGATATGGTTTTTTTATCTGCTGGGGCCGGGTTTTATTTTTATTTTTATTTTTATTTTCATTTTTATTTTCATATTTATTTTTATTTTTATTTTTATTTTCATTTAAAAAAAGGGGGAATCAGGTTTTTGTCGAGTAATTTCCCCCCTGGGGAGTGTGGGTGATTAGTTTCCGTCTTTCCTGTTTGCTTTCGCACTGGGAAGGGTTCCGTCCATAGAAACGGACAGGAGCATCCGAATACCACGATCCTCCCCCGCCATTGACGTGCACCCATGCCAGTATGTGAAGGGTTCCGTGCATAGAAATGGTTTACCATGGTCTCTGCCGTTTGACTTTTCTTATTTTTTTCTTGGGGAAACTGCTCCTGGGTCACACTTTTAGTTCAAAACTGCAAAAAAAATACTAAATGGCAATGTCCTGGTCGTCGAAGTTCAAAACGGCAAAAAAAACACTTAACGGCAACATCCTCGTCGTCCAAGTTCAAATTGGCAAAAAAAACATCACTTTTTTTTCTTTTTTTTTTAATCAAACAACTTTTTTTTTTTTTTTTTTTTTTTTTTTCAAGTACGTTGAAGTCACAGGTGCACTTCCGAATGGGCAAAAACATCACTCCGTAGGCAGGTTTGTCAAGTCGGAGTGACTAAAGGCAAGAAAAACAGCTGAAAGGCAACATCCTCGTCGTCCAAGTTCAAATTGGCAAAAAAAACATCATTTTTTTTTTTTTTTTTTTTAATCAAACAACTTTTTTTTTTTTTTTTTTTTTTTTTCTCAATTCTGTCGTATGGACGCGCCGCAGCTATAACGGAAAAAAAAAAAGGTGTTTCGGCCCCATGGTTGGGCCACGACCGAGATGTCTCGGCCACACCCCAGATTGGCCACGACCGAGATGTCTCGGCCACACCCCAGATTGGGCACGGCCCAGATGTCTCGGCCACACCCCAGATTGGCCACTGCCGAGATGTCTCGGCCACACCCCAAATTGGCCACGACCGAGATGTCTCGGCCAC